GAGTGCATACACTGTTTCAAAAGGTGACAGAAAGGCCACGAGGTGTTGGGGGTTGGGTGCTCAGGTTAAAGTAAAAGTAAGTACACACTCTACAGACAGAGTGCAGTCCGTCTCCAAAGACTAGGGAGCAAGAAAGGCGGCCACGAGGTGTGGTGTTGCCAGTTTTTTTTACCACTTTTTCACTTTTTAAGTGTGGTTAAATATACATAATATAACACTTACTAGCTTAATCATTTTTAAGTGTGCAGTTCAGTGATGTTAAATACATTCGTAATGTTGTGTTACCATCACCACCAACCATCTCCAAAGCTCTTTTCATCTTGTAAAACGGAAACTCTCTACCTATTAAATGAGAACTCCTCATTCTGTCCCTTTCCCCCGGTCCCTGGCAACACCATTTATTTTCTCTGTCGTTATGATTTTGACTACACTAAGTCCCTCACATAATTGGAATCATACAGTATTTGTCTTTTTGTGACTGGTTTATTTCACTTAGCACTATGTCCTCAAGGTTCATCCATGTTGTAGCATGTGTTAGAATTTCATTCCTTTTAAAGGCCGGATGCTATTCCATTGTATGTGGATACCACATTTTTTTTTTAAATCAATTTGTTTGTCCACTGATGGACACTTGGATTGCTAATAAGTCTAATAAGAAAAAAAATTTTTTAAGGTAGAAAGCATCATGTCCATTTAAAGAGGAATAGATGTAGTCTTATTGGGGAGATTATTTATGATCAATGTGATGAGTGATAGAAAAAATAAAAAATACACAATGAAGGAGGTAGTCTGTTTGCTAGACTTTGAAAGACAAACACGACAATGCTAACTACATCAACTTAACTACAACTATTTATCAAGTACCTACTGTGTGCATTGTCCTATGCTTGAAACTTTTCATCCTGATCTTATTTATTCCTCACAATAACCCTGTTAGGTCAATAGTGTTATTCTCATATCAAATGAGGAGACAAACTATTGCTACACAGCTAGTAAATGGAACCAGACATACCTAGTCCCAAGGTAGACCAAACCTTGAATATAGAGCTAATTGGTTCCAAATTCCCTGCCCTTTCCTCTCTCTCACAGGTTTTTAGAATAGGTAAAACATCCATTTCTTCTATTTCTAAAAGTCCAATTACTAGCCATCCTGGTTCAAATGCCAGGTATTTCACAGTAGATTCTCAAATTGTGGGCTGCAGATCACTTGCACCAAGTCATAAAAGGAGTTCACCGAAGTGCAAATTTCTGGGCTCCTGATCTCAAAGATTCTAAGTAATTAAGTTTGGGATGAGGACTAGAGAATGTGTTTTTGTTTTTTAACTTAAACTAATTTGGCCTCTACTGAGAACCACTATGTCTAGGTCTTCCAGGAGTGCTCCGCAGAAATAAATTCTTGGGCAGAACACTGCAGCTAAGCCTTTTGATATTCTCCATACAGGCTTGCCTTAGGCTCAGACTGATTCCTCCTCCTCTTACAGCACAGGGACTTGCTGAAGGCCTGAATGATTGAAGAGGTTTTCACCTGATCTCAATTAAGCAGCACAACCAACTTTTACCCAGCAAATTGAGATACAACACATCGCAATTTAGCTGCATAAACTAGGCTATTTATCAAACTGCTTAAAACCGTACACGAAATCTGCGCGTTGTGCTGTGTCTAGAAGGATGTGGAGAAAAAGGCCAGGCTTGATAGGTCGCGTGGGTAACAGAGACTCTGAATCCGAATCCCAGGTATTTCAGGGGTTTACTAGCGCTGGAGAGGAGGAAAACCGAGCAGGCGGACTCATGCGCAGGCGCAGAAGGAAGGGGGAAACCGATAAAACCGCCAAGGCGAGCCCTTCCCCCACCCTGTTTCCGGCTTTCTCCTACTGCGCAGGCGTAGAGAGTGAGTCAAGATGGCGGCCCCCGTGGATCTGGAGTTGAAGAAGGTAAAGGAGGATTTTGCTCAGGCAGGAACTTCTTTTTGGAAGCTAAGGGGACTGTGGACAAGAATATCGAGTGAGGCTCGAGTCCTGAGGAAGGAAAAGAGCCCTTGGGAAATGGGGAATTATTCACCAGAGTCCTAAGACGAGACCAGGTCTCCCTAGGCTGGAGTCGGGGGCGAGCGGCTTTTTGCTGGGTAAGAACTCGTTTTACTGGGCCTGGTGAAGTGTGACGGGCGGAGAGCTGTTCGGTTCCCTCGTTCCGAGCTCCACAGAGATTTCATTGCGCTTGGCGTCTTCAGCTTCATAGTAAGGCCTGAAGTGAGCGTTTCAAATAGCCCCTTCGGACGGCTTCTCCGAGTTGAGGCAGCTGTAATTTTGCATCCTAACTTGCTTTGAACAACTCCAAATCTAATCTGTGCTTTTAGGCCGCTATTCAATCTCGTACATTGTAAGGTCGCTGCATACAGGTCAGAGCCAGATATTCTTGTAGTAGTATTCATCTCAGAGCTTTGGTTGTCCTCGCCGCCCCCCTCCCCCGCTTTTTTTTAAATTTTTTGAGGGGCTTGTCAAAAACAAGTCAGTTTTTACAAATAAAGTTGATATCAGAAGAATTGGGTTTCTCTCTTCATACATTTGCCTTTATATGTGTGTCGTTACTCCAAAATGTTTTCGCCTCTTCAGAGTTACCAGGATTCTACCACCACCACCAACCCAAAAGCATATACTTTTTTTTTTTTTTTTTGGCTAGGGGAAGGGGATGAGGATTGGAAAGGATTCTAGACTTCATCTACTTTAAACCTATACTTTTCTAGAGAAGGAAACAGTTCCAGACTCAGTCCAAGATTGGGACTAGTCCAGTATTACCTGCCTTACTCCCCATCTTTTGATCATTAGTTTAAGTTCTTTAGAAGAGCAAATTTTACTTAAGATTGTCTCCTGGTCAACCTTTGCGTAGGTAGGACAGCTGAAACAACTGTTTTGCATAATAAATGAAGCTGTTTATTATTGCTCTGAGGAATTATATGTGTTTTGCTTTTTGTCGTTCTTGTTTTGAAACTTGTGCACTTAGTCTTTATGTGGTCTACAGTGCTGTAATATCTCAGCTTTGACAGACTACTAGCTACCTTAGCAAGTTGTACAGAGCAGTCAGGTAATTTTGTATGTAATTTTATTTTGTACTTTACATAAAAAGTAAAATTCATTTTAAGACTGCTTAAAACATTCTAAGAGTTTACACTTTTTTCCTGTTAAAAGTTCAAATTTAAGTCAGGATTTAGTAAAGGAGCTAATAGAGTACAGCTGTGAATGAACTTACCTCAGTATTATTTGAATTTGCTGCTAGGAAACCTGTGGCCAATGAATGCAAATTAAGAAGATGATTAGAGAGAAATTGGGTAGTTCTGACAACCAATGAAATTAAGTTAAAAAAACTTATTTGAAGGTCTTCTAATTTCTTTATAAGGTCTTTTTGGAGGGGTGGAGATTAGTAGGAAATTTTATGTACCTCTCCTTCCCCAAAGTAAATCTTTCGAAACATTACTAGTAGGTGAGAACAGTCAGAATAAAAGTTAAGTAGTAGCTTTTGCTATGTATTGCAGTTAGAAATGTTAAGGCATAAATTTGACAGCAGGTGAAAGTCATTCTAGGCACTTAAACAAGAGTATCCAAGAACTTTTTGAGTTAAGGGTCAAATTTGGCTTGTTACATGGGTATGAAAATCATGAATGCAGTTCTACCAGTGCTTTGAATTGTTTTTGTCTTTCTTTTAAAATACTCATTTTCTGAATATTGCTGTAGACAGTAGAATAGAAAGATTTCTAAACTAGAGGTTGGAAGAAATGGATTTAAGTATTTGTTTTCCAGCTAATAGTTGTTAAACCCCATGCTAGTCATTTACGTCTCTTTAACATATTTAGTTACCTAATTTGTAAACTATAGTGATGAAACCACCATCCCTAACTCAAGATTAATGAAAACAGTAAATGAGATATTTATTATTATGTCAGTGTTCTCATATTAATATTCACATGTTAATATTTCAAACAAATGTAGGAGAGTACTTTGAAACCTAATTGTGTAATACAAGTGTAGTGAATTGTAACATTTATGGTTCTTGCTTTGGATTTCTGGGTTTCATCCTCTAACTATTGTATTTAGTGCTTTTATTACTCCTTGGATACCTGCTACGTGATATGGTTATTATTTAAATTGCCTTTGTTCTGCTGCTTCAAGTAGATTCCGTCTTCTGAGGACTAGGTAAATTCAGTACAGTTGATCCTTGAACAATACAGATTTGAACTGCATGGGTCCATTTATATGCAGATTTTAAAAAACAATAAATATTGGAGTACTACACATTGTGTGGTTGGTTGAATGCACATATGTAGAACCGAGGATACAGAGGAACTGCTATATGAAGGCCAACTATAAATTATACTTGGATTTTCAACTGCATGGAGGGTCAGTACCCCAATCCTCGAATTGTTCAAGGGTCAAATGTATTTAGCATAGTGGCTTGATAGTTTACAATTATGTTGACTTTTATTAATGTTTGCTGTGGTACCTTTCACAAGCTTTGTCTCTGGTTTGCATGCTTTATTTTAATATATTTAGTTGACTAAAATGTTTCATCTACTAAATCAAGAACTTGTTTTTTTATTAGGCCTTCACAGAGCTTCAGGCCAAAGTTATTGACACTCAGCAAAAGGTGAAGCTTGCAGACATACAGATTGAACAGCTAAACAGAACGAAAAAGCACGCACATCTTACAGATACAGAGATTATGACTTTGGTAGATGAGACTAACATGTATGAAGGTGTGGGAAGAATGTAAGTAAAATATATCTTTAAGGGGGTTATCTCGAAAGAGGTTTGTCTGAATTAAATAATAGAATTTGTTCACTTTAAAACTTGGGTTAAAGTATCATAGTAGCTTTAAAAATCATTTAGTCAAATATCTTTTTTTTTTTTGAGAAACTGAACTTCACATAGATGTGTTTAATGTTAAACTTTGAAGTACTTATCTTAAATATTTATTTCCCTGTTCTTTCTACAATTAGGTATGTAAGTGTGTAACTTCAATGGTAAAAATATGATTTGTTATGAAAAGGTGTTTATAGTATACACATGTAGTTTTAGGTATAAAGATTTATTTAAGTAGCTTGTAATTTTAGCTTCCCCTTCCCTACCTAATTTTTAGTAGCCATACAAATCATAAATCTTTTAGATGTCTGACCAGTGTTGTAAAATAAAAATAAAGATTCAATTTAAATGTACATTCTGTTGTACATGAGAAATCTAGTAAACCAATTTACCTTTTGTTTATTCTAATTATTGTTATGTGATTAACTGCCTACATTTCACTTATTTTCTTTTAAAAACTTTATTACCCTTATGAGAATAGATCTGCTTCATGTTCTGTAAGTAGTAAATACGAATGGAAAAGCCCTTAACTACAGGTCACATTCCATTACAGTGAGCTAAAAGGAGACTGATTTTTTTTCTTTTCTTTTCTTTAAGTGGGGAAGTACAGGAGGACGGGTTTTCTGGAATTTGGTCTTTGAATATTACTTAGTAAGTGGACCATTACTTAAGTTTGGAGATCTTTTAGTTGGAAAGGAATTTGACCTCAGTCTTAGGATGACTTGTTTTGTGATTGATTTGAAGGAAGCATAACATGTGTAACATTTAGTAATGACTTTGGAATGACATCATGAGAAATAGACCCTGCTCATGACTAGCTAATCTATATCTTTCTGGAAAAGAGATAGATTATAATAAACTGTTCATCTGATTTGCTTTCTCAGAATAAATAGTATACCACAAATAACTTTTATCTCTGGAGTTTGTATTTTTCATCTTAGCCTGTTTTAAAAGGAAAAGAATCTCAATTTGAGAGTTTGTTACTAGGACAGAAAAGAGTTGGGAAGATAACAATGTAGAATCCTTGAATGTCTTTCTATGTAGTATGAAGTGTATTGTTGGCATTCACTATAGGATAATTTATCCTTAATGTGAATATCCTTTAGTTTTAAAACAGTAATGCTAGCTTTTCTGTCATGCTTGTCAATATGTTGCTCTTGGATTTCACATCATTACATGCCTTTGTTTGCAACAGCTAAAGAATCTCTTTTTCCAAAATAGGAAAACTGACTGTCTTTGGCCTTTTGATCTACAGTGAAGTTTTAATTTTTAATTAGAATAATTTCACTTATTAAACATTCTGCAGAAATGATAGGAAAGTTGGTTTTCTTTGCATACTGCCTAAAGTGCTACATATTCCACACAAAGAATTTTAGAGTTGAGAGGCTGGTATTTGAATTGGTTAATGGTAGAACAGTAGTGTTTCTGGAAGATTTATTTCATATCAATTTTGTTTCTAAAAAGAAATGTGTAGTTTTAAATGTTTAGATAAAATGGAATACCTATGTGGTTTCAAACTTTGGTTTTAAATTTAACCTTTGACCTTTGCTTTCTGTGCCTCTCTGGCAGTGTGAATTTGACCCTGCATTTGAAGGGGCATGTAAGGTAAATAGTGTTTGTTGTTTGGCTAGCATATTAGTGCCCTCAGGAAGAAAAGACTTGCTGAGTACTAGTCTAGTCATGAGGATGTTCTCTTTCTTGATGCTAAACCTGAAATATCTATTTCTGAATTTATAGTCTTGAGTAATCTTGAGTATCATTGTGATTCACTTCTTTAACTCTAGTCTTTACCTTAATTTGTCTTTTCTTTTCCTTTTTGAGTATTATTTGGGAATTCTAATTAGAATACTAATTTTTCTCAAACTGTTGTTTTAAAACCAAGAATTAATGAAATTCAAACCACTACTTTTTTGTTTTATAACCTGCAGTAGATTTCTGTCATCATTGAAATTCAAGCCTCATTGTGTCTTGCGTGGAGTATGACAATAGCTTCTTAACTGTTCTTTCTGCCTTTATTCTGTTCGTCCAGATGCTTTCTTCACACATCTGCCAGAATTGATCATGTCATTATTCTTCGTAAAATCCTTGTTCATCCTCTTTGCTCATGGGGTAAAATCTAAACTTGTTAGCCTAAGCTTCATGATTATTCATAATCTGACCTTAATTTATCCTTCTAGCCTTGAATTCCGCTAGTTTCTTTTCCCAGACTCAGAATAGCATATGAATTTCATCTCATGGACTTACCTCCTTCCATTGATTGAGAAGGAGTTTGAGTCTCATGCAGGCTTAAACATGCTTTAATTTGATTAGAGAAGTCTGTTTTGGAGAGAGAGTAGAAGAGTAGTAGCACATGTACCCCAAATTGTTATCCCTACCCTTGCCACAGTGGGCTTCCTCACACATGCCATGCTTTTTTTCCTTCCTTCCTGGGATTGAACCCAGGACCTCGTGCATGCTCAGCATGCACTCTACCACTGAGCTATATCCTCTCCCTGTGCTTTCTTGATTTCGCTCATTTTGTCCTTCTTGGCCTGCAGCATCCCACTTTCCCTTATGAAATTCGCATCCTTCAAGACACAGCTCATCTTCTCTGAAGATTTTTACATCTTCTCTGACAGACTTATTCACACTTTTCTGGGTGATAGCAGGGGTTTTGTTCCTATAGCTAGCAGAGCACATGGGTGGGGGTTAAGGATCAGGTAGGGGAGCAGAAGTTGATTGAGTTTGAAATTGTCCAGCCTCCCTAACTAGATTGTCAGCTCTGTGAGACCATGTACATATTTATCTTTTGTTTCCTCAGTTCTCAGCATAATGTCTGGCACAAAATAGATGTTAAATGTGTGTTGATTTGAATTAAATATGACTCTCTTCCCTAAAATAACTGCATTCTTTTGGTTCTTTAGAAAATGTATAGAAAGTGTCAGAGACTTAAGAATTGGAGTTTATTTTGCTGCTTTAACTTATGACTCAATAAAGATGAAATTATAAAAGGAACATATATTTTGACTAAGGTCAAAGGAATTGTTTCTGACCAAGTTATGTCCTTTGATCTGACAGGATTAATTCTTTATTAATCTTCTCTACTGAGAAGGTTGACTTAATTCTAGATGCCAGCCAGTTGCAGAGATAATCAGAATTGGTAATATAGAAAAACCCAAGCCTTTAGAATTACACTGAGGGTAGTATAATCTTTGGAGAATAAAGGCTATTCTATGTAGACTGATATCAATATAATTGTATCTGTTTTATTTTCTTCATCACACAGGGTAGAAGTCAGATTTTTCTTTTTAGGGTATGCATTCAGTTTACCAAGTCATTGCAAACCCAGATGCCTTTCTAGTCATAAGTATGGAGAAAATTGGTAGTGTTACATACTTCTTATATATGGTTATTTCTGGTTTAAAACAAGGAAAATCAAACTGCAGGGTAATGGATGATGAATTGCTATATACTATAAGCTCTGCATATTCGTTGTTGCTCAGAGCTATAGTCCATCCAGTCTCTTGGCATCTTGCCAGCACATTTTAGTTCTCTTACTTCATATTCTTTGGAGAGGTTGTTATGTAGCCTGATACTACTACCACCAATTTCTAGTTTTGCTACTTAAGCTATTTGTGAGCTGACCTCACTGTACTGCTTTGAGAACTATGATGAAAGTTACAACCGTGGAATGATCTGTCTGAATAGTTAGAAGTGTTTGTCTTTGCATCTTTCTAGCATGCAAGGAGAGAACAGACAGATAAATATTACATGAATGTTTCTTGTTTTTTTTTATGAATAAGAACCAGTTTATAATTTATGGGAGTTTTCTTCCTTTTTATTTTGCATAGTAAAAGATGAGTATTTTTTAAAAATTAGAATTACTTTGAAAGTGCACATAAATGACAATTAATCTTGCTAGTGTTTGAAAGGACCATCATTAGAATAAATGTCAGATTTATTTTTATTAACAAAAGGTATGATCCAGACCCTGATTTGATGTTAGGTCCATTATTCTAATATCCTTGTGCTTGAGCATTACATAAATAACATCTCTTCTTTTCAAAAGAGATAAATTAAGCTTTTAATTTTTTTAATAGGGGAGGAACTTGAGTAGATTAGCCTTTGAGAAGAATGATTAGTGCCTTTTTAAAACTTGAACCTAACTAAAAATAACTTTGTACCATATTTAAACTAATTTAGAGGTATGCCACCATTCTGTGGATATTTTTTACATTTAAGGAACTAAGAATGAACAATGGTATAAATCTGCCAACTAGATAAGTGTCTAGCAATGCAAAAATTGTTGTTTGGGAGCGGTGTTGCTATTTCTACTTGTTGAAGTAATTTGATGGTTGATCTCTAATGGTTGAAAGATGCAGAAGTGTGAAACTTAAGATCAATGTGGCGCAGGTAGAAAATGAAAACAGTAGATGTATTCCTGATAGGTAACACAAATTTTAAAAAGTCTAAATGATTGAGTAATTTTCAACTAATTAAAATGTAGAAATCTGAACTCTTTGTGATAGTTTGGTTAAACTACCTTTTGTTTAAAAGGTTATGTTGGTTTTGTGATTTTAATTGTTACTTTGAATGTTGATTTGTATTTTGAGTTGTGACATTTAGAAAAGCCACGATGAAACTTTGCAGTTTCTCTAAGTTTAGTTATGTTAAATATTAATTGAAAGGGATATAGTCATGCTACCTCAAGTTTTGCAGTTGCTTTACAATTTCATGTTGCTGTAGAGTTGGTATTTCAGTCAATTTGAAGTAATTTTAAAGCTGAAGATATTTTATTCCTAAGAGATTAGGAAATCAACCACAAATCTTAGTGTAGTAAATATTATTGATACTAATATTATAGTAAAAATAGTTTATATTGTTCTCACTGGAACTAAGTTTGAATATTTTATTCAATGCTTACTGTA